GACATGTGTTAGACATTCTGCAGAATGTTAAGCGCTTCAGAATTGGAAATAAAAATATTTTAATTTTAAAAAATGCTTAAAATAACTAATTGACTCTCCAGCATTCATCATCTAAATGTACCAGAAAATCATAAATCAGAAAAGTGTTTCTGCTAAGGAATCTGCCATTGGGGAATTGCATTTATGGTCCACAGGAAAGAATTGAATATTAGTATAATATTGGCATAAAAACAGAGTACAAAACTTATTCTTAATGTTAGCTCAGCATTCCAAAATGTACCAAAACCCAACATCCTGATATCCTATTTTTAAATTTTCCCAAAGAAACAGAGGTGATACTAAGTGTAAATGCTTTTTTTCCCCCTATTAAAAAAATCCTATTTATAGGAGAATGTATGAAGATTAACCAGGATTAAATATACATCTGATCTGGGAATGGGGGAAGAAATCATTTGACCAAAGAGTACTTTTATGATCATCAGCTTTCTTTCTCTTTAGGGTAAAAAAAAAATGGTAATGGGCTATTGGCTCAGAGCAGAGGTTCAGTAGGAAGATGCCATCAGTATGATGTGTAGCTGTGTTGGCTATGGGTGTTTGAACATGGTGAGCCTCCTCCGTATGTTTTCACTGCTATTTGCTGTACTAAGGAGCAAATTCTGCTCCCAGTACTGTGGTTATGGAAGGCTATGCTGCAGAACTGTTACAGCTCTGGTGCAGGCTTGAAGAGTTGGCACATAAGGTGCTCTTGCCAGGAGCACCATGAAACCTAGCTCTGTGGACACCCAGCATATCACTCTGCAGTAAGGATGTAGCATCTCATAGGTGAGGGGATGATGGATCTGCCATTGGTCATCAGGTAGTGCACTGTTTCTGGACATCTCCCCTCTCCCTGCCCCCACCGACATGGGTCAGAGGCTGGTATTGCAGCCATGGAGCAGCTTCACCGTCAGTCCATGACCTGGAGGGGAAGAATCTTTCTATCCCTAATCTCTAAGGTGATGCTTTGTGTTCAGGAGTGGACTTGTGGTTAAGTGCTTGATTTCAGCCAGTGCATCCACCCCACTTCAGTGTCCTGTGTAGATAGGGTAAGCGTATGGGATATGTTCTGCTGGGTACTCATGTATTCATTTGTGCTTACAGACCACTCAATGTAGCATTTTTTTCTAGCGCCTCTTTTGTGTTTTGCCAGCATCCTTATATTGCTGGCCAACAACACACATCCGCCCCTGCAGTGGTGATGCATGGGGAGTGTATGCGGGGTCACGTGCCCCGCCCAGATTTCTGCCAGGGTGGGACTTGGGCTGAACAAGACTGAGGGGGACGTGCCTGGTAAATGCACTAGCTTCTAGCGCTCCTGCTGGGCCCTACTAGGAGGCGCCCAGAGCAGGGAAGAGAGACAGGGCTGGCAGCAGAACTCCGCCAGAGGGGGCACAGGCAAGCCCTCTGAGTCCTGTCCCTTCCTCTCGCCCAGAGCCACAGTTACCTGCTTGGTGGTAGGTATCCAGAGCACGCTCCGGCCTATGCCGCATTCACAGTGGGGAGGCAATGGGAGAAGTGGGGAAGGAACTTTCTGAGGGGAGTGGGGGGAAGGTGGTGCTGGCTTGGAGGGTGTGGGAGGCTCAGGGGCGTGGGAAAGGACCCAGAGGCAATGTGTGGGTCAGTCATGTGCCCCTCCCCCAAGCCTTTAAATTGTGCCCCCCCCACACCATCAAGGGTTATGGGCCGTCTCTGAAACCGTGATAACTTTTCACCCCAGTCCTCCTCATTCTGCATATATCAAGTGCAATCTTGTGGTATCTTGTGGGGAGTTGATGCTGTAGCTCAGGGGTAGGCAACCTATGGCACATGTGCCAAAGGCAGCTTGCGAGCTGATTTAGGGACACTCACACTGCCCGGGTCCTGGCCACCGGTCCAGGGGGCTCTGCATTTTAATTTAATTTTAAATGAAGCTTCTTAAACATTTTAAAAACCTTATTTACTTTACATACAACAATAGTTTAGTTATATATTATAGACTTATAGAAAGAGACCTTCTAAAAACATTAAAATGTATTACTGGCACGTGAAACCTTAAATTAGAGTGAATAAATGAAGACTCGGCACACCACTTCTGAAAGGTTGCCGACCCCTGCTGTAGCTCATGGATCTCTACCACAAAACTCCCCTGAGTATCTGTTACATGTTCTAATACCAAGAAAGCATTTCAGCACTTATTGTTCTGTGCTGATAAATGTTCAGAGGGCTTGACATGTCTTAAGTTGGTTTCTAGGAGTTGCCTGTGAAACTCCTAGACAAGTGCTATTGGGTGTGCCTGTCCATTTGGAACCTCAGGGATGAAGATGGTTGCAAGCCTACCTTTCTGGAGGCCTCTCCTATTCCTCTGCTGGGTTAATTTCAGCTATCTGCACTTGAAAGTGTTCTCCTAATGCCCTGTGGGATATTGTCTAGGAGAGGAAATGTGGTAACTCTGCAGTGTTTGCTAAGAATATGGATGATGTTTGGTGTAATCTCTACCTGTGTTACATCAGACGGGGGCAATTTGATTTTATGACAGCTGTTAGACTGTACATCCTGGGCTTTGGTAAGCCACACCTCTTTTCCCCATTTCCACACAGTCTGTATACAATCACCAGCCCTGTCTAACTGCTGTTTCACTAGCTGTAAATCCCATGTGGGTGCATTTTATTCCTCGGTCCTACCCATGCCAACTTTTATGCCATTTTACGTAGACATGGTGATTTGTATCACCTGTTACTCTTGCTCTGAATTGGGCTCAGAGTTATCAGTGAAGTTTTATATAATGTTACCTTGTAGTTTTTAATCAAGAAAAAAATCTGACTAGGTTTCTGTGGATTTAGGTAACTACCATGCATTTGCAATGAAGTCATTTCCTCCCCCTCCCCACAAACCACCATCACTAGTACAAAAGCAATGTTAGGTCCTGCCCATATTCTGGCTGGAAGCAGCCTTATTCAAAGTGTTTTCCTCTTCCTTATGTATCTTTTAGTCTCCTCTCTGTCCTCTGTAGACACATTCAAAGGTTTGTGTTAAGGTCCCTCAGGTGATCCGTGCTTTCAAGTACAGGGTCCAGCTGATAACCACGTGGAGTCAGGTAGGAATTTTTCTGTTGTAGAGCGGCTGCTCGGGAGTGTATGTGAGAGAGAGTTTGTGGGCAGAGGAATTAGGAGTTCTTGCCGTCCTGTGGTAATATGCTGTGAGGATCAACACTCAGAGCGAGTTGCTGAGTATAATATTGAACACTCTTCACTGTGTATGATGAGTTCACTGCTTTGAATGTTATCTTGTTAGTATTCTTCATTGCAAGCAGGGCCGGCTCTAGGCACCAGCAAACCAAGCACGTGCTTGGGGCAGCACATTTTCAGGGGCGACATTCTGGCCATCTTTTTTGTTTTTGTTTTTTTTCTTCGTGCAGCAAAAGCCTAGAGCCGGCCCTGGCAGCAGCAGCGTGTCGTGCACGGGGGCGCCCTGGGGCCGCTGCGGTTCCCGCCACGGGGGAGCAGCGCCCGCACCTTGTGGCTGGGCCGGGCAGGTTCTGAGCGGAGGACACTCAGGCTGGGGGCCGCCCCGTGGGGCACACAGAGCTGCCTGCAGGTGCCGCAGGGTGGCCACCCCCCAGCGCCGCAGCTGGGGCTGGGCGAATCGTCCCGAGCCACCCAGGGACTGCGGCACGGTGGCCAGAAGCAGCAGCAGCAGCAGCAGCGGGGCCATAAAGGGCGGGGCGCTGCTGTGCGAGGCCCGCGTCCCGCTCTCCGGGGCTCCGCTCCCTCTGGGGCTACCCTGCCCCGGCTCCTCAGCCCCCTGCTGGGGCGGTCCCCCAGCTCTGCCCTCCTGGGTCCCGGCCGGTCCTGGAGGTGGGAGCCCTGGCTGGAGGGACCCTGGGCTGAGGCGCGGCCCGGGAGCCCCCCTGCTTACCCCAACCCTGCCAGCTCCGGACCGGCTGGAGGCGAGGGGGGAGCAGGTGGAGTCAGCACTGTTGGTGGGGAGCCCAGGGCTGGGGTGACAGGGGGTGCAGGTAGATTGGGGTTGGGGCATGGGAGAGCCCAGCGCTGGGGCAGCAGGGGTGCGGGTGGGTGGGTGGGGGAAGAGAGAGCCCAGGGCTGGGGCGGCAGGAGGTGCGGGTGCGGGAGGGCACTGGTGAGGGGGGGGGTGAGAGCCCAGGGCTGGGGTGGGGGTGGGGGGCAGCCAAACACTTTTTTGCTTGGGGTGGCAAAAAACCTAGAGCCGGCCTGATTGCAAGCACTCACAAAATTTTCCTAGTAGGCAGAAGTTTTCTACGCTACATTGATCTTGGCTTTTTGCAATTTTATTGTTGCAGCTTTGAGGGCAAGTGCCTGCCCCCCCGTGGTTGTCTTAACCCCTTTCCCAAAACTTGGACACAGGTTTGAAAATGGGTAGGGCTAAAGGCTATGGGGGAAGGCAAATCAGGCACAGATACAAAGGATCCCAATAGGTAAGCCTGAGCCCTATCTTGGTTGAAGGTTTGGCTTCTGGATGGTGGCAGGAGGTCTATTAGTCTGGCAGAAGCTTTGGACATATAAGGCCTCTTTACTATGAAATGATATTTAAGCACTAGCAGGTTGCAGGAAATTTAGAGGTGGTGTTTATTTTAATAAGGGTTATGATCAGTGGCTTTTATACCCAAACACTTGTCTGAGAGTTTTACTGTCATCATGACAAGTGGCAGCTGTAAATATCATGCAGAGGTGTGCATAATTTTTAAAAAATATTAAATAGTTAAGGCAGAGTCATCACACTACTTCCATATATATTAAGAGTCAAATTCTGCTATTGGAAAGGTACATGTCACTACCATTGAAGTCAATGGTATTTATGGTCACACATCTCAGGGCAGAATTTGGTTGTTTCAAATGTGTAAGAATGTTGTGTGGTACTGTTTTGTGTTTCTTGTTTGTTTCTTTCATTCAGTTTTCAGCAACTAAAAGATAACTGAGGTTTGTTGTTGTTTTTCATTATTTTAGGTAGCCTGCCATATGAATACAAGATTGTGATAGCAGGAAATCATGAATTGACCTTTGACCAAGAGTTCATGGCTGACTTAATCAAGCAGGACTTTTACTATTTCCCTTCTGTGTCTAAGCTGAAACCAGAGAGCTATGAGAATGTGCAGTCTCTTCTAACCAATGGCATCTATCTTCAAGACTCTGAAGTGACGGTGAGGGGGTTCAGGCTGTATGGCTCTCCCTGGTAAGCAACTCTTCATCACAAATAAATAAAATGATAGCATTGATTACTACCACACCAGTCATTTCACGCCCTTCCGTCATATTGGGATTAGTGTGTGAATAAAAGAGTAATACTCAGTTCTATAAACTTTTATTTTGTTGTTGCTCATCTTTCCTTTGGCAAAATATCTGACTATCAGAGTATGTGGATCATGAAATCAATGAGACAAAGATAAGATAATGTATCCTTTAGACACCCATTCAAGAGCGAGCCATTTAAATATTCCATGTAGCTTTAACTTGGTATGTGGAAAGGATATACAATTTAACAAGTTTACATTATTACAGTTTAATTTGAGTGCATTGCAAATATGTCTTTTGAGTTTGTCCTTTGATATTGAAAGCTCACTATTTTAGATATATTATCATTCAGAGAAGAGAAAATATATTATTTCTCTTTCTCTCTCTCTCTCTCTCTCTCTCTCTCTTTCTCTCAGTCTCTTAGGGCAGGTCTACACTTACTTCCTGGTCCGGCCATAAGCAATCGATCTTCTGGGATCGATTTATCGCGTCTTGTCTAGACGCGATAAATCGATCCCAGAAGTGCTCGCCGTCGACGCCGGTACTCCAGCTCGGCGAGAGGAGTACGCGGCATCGACGGGGGAGCCTGCCTGCCGCGTCTGGACCCGCGGTAAGTTCGAACTAAGGTACTTCGAATTCAGCTATGTTATTAACGTAGCTGAATTTGCGTACCTTAGTTCGAAGTGGGGGGTTAGTGTGGACCAGGCCTTAGTTTGGTATAAGCTGCTATTCCTCAGAATGTTATTTTCTTTTATATATTAATACCCTTCATCAAGATGCAGTTTAGTTTCTGGAATAATGTTGGCTTTCATAGTAACCAATCAGTGGCTAACCAGTACTTCACAGTTTTCCCTCTGCTGTACTCTGAGGCCACTTGGAACTTTTTTGTGATAACAAGGAGAAAACTCTGGTCCAGTGGCTTCCAAAGGACTGGGCCTTACCACTTCATCTAAAGAAGAAATTCTCCATTGGGTTGTAGACTGAACTACCCCTCTACAGGGGGTCCCTCTAGGTCTCATTGGTGGATATGTAAAATGAAGTTTACACTTCTGTTACTGAAGTTGTAAATCTGGTACATTTCATGAACACTGTATGCATATTTAAAGGAAATTAATATTCTATTTTAAAAGGTAGGTTTTCAGGGAATCTGTTTTTCTTCCTTTTGAAATCACATCAGGCTGGAATGTAGCAAACAAGTTGTCAGACCTGATGCATATACCCAGTGTGAATTTTCACAGTGTGAATAAACTGTGAAATCTATTGGAAACTTTTTTATAATGAAAATTGGCATTTTCCCATTTGGTTGCTTTAGCTGGGTGTTAATTTTTCCCAAGCTTATTATTCTACATTTATCTATATTAAAATCTCATCCCACTTAAATACGCCCATCTCTCTCAGCTTTCCAGATATTTCTTTATTTTCAACCTACCCACCTGCTGTGTTGAAGCTTAGCTTAATCCTGTGTCTCCGGTACATTCAATCAATGTACAATTTACTTTGTTTTCCAGTTATTCAGAAAGATATTAAATAGTATCAGTCGCAATATAAAATTTTGGAGAATGCCACTTGCCACCTCTTCCCAGATTGATATTTAAGTTTAAGTACAGTAACTATGTTCTGATTTCAGGGTATCTGGCAACTTAGTATTTTCACTACAGTAATCCTAATCAGTCACCATATTTCCAATGTTAGTATTAATTTTTCAGCAATAATGTACCAAAAGTCTCATTAAAAGACAAGATGTATATATATAAATTTAATTGATCTGTGAAATAACTAAGTAGAGGCTCAAGAAAACCATTTGAACTTCCTGTACCTATGAAAATCTGTGAAAGCCTCCTGGGGACATCTTTGCCTCCCCACTAACATGAAATGTTATGGTTAAATTAAAATTATTGTTTTCACTTGTCCACTAACCCTGTAATTTTGCTCAAGTTCTGTGGGCTATCAGGTTTGTCTAGCTTGACCTGTTCTTTGCGAATCTGTGGTGCTTCCCATTCATTCTGTTACTCTCTTCTAAGTGCTTATGTACTAATTTATTCTAAAGAGTTCTGAACTGTAGTGTTAGAACTGGATCAAAACTTCCTCATTGTTTGACAGTGTTGAGATCCAAGGAGTTGGTTCAGCTAACGGATAAGCTGGAAAAATGTAACTGAAGGTCTGTGCTGCCTTATACAAAAGGTCAGAGTTTCCTGATGGTGTAACTTCAGCCAGGAGGCTAGGTTACAGGGGGGCAAAGTGACCACAACCTCATTCTTGGGGACATGACAAAAATTCAGTGCAACAGAGCATCAACAATTGGTGTTGCTGCCCAAAACGGGGCATAGCCCATGTGCATAGGAGTCCTCCGATTCAATACCTGTCTGGAGACCAGTGGTGCAAATAGCTTTTAACTTTTACTGGTACAGTACTGACTCCCCAACCCTGACCCTCCTCATAAAAAAATGTTCCGTGACTAGAGCCCTGTGTGGATAGAAATTTATATCCATGGATGCGGATATCCGTGGATCCACTGAACCACAGGGCTCTCCCAAGAACTGCAGCAGCGAAAGGAGCTGAATGTGGGGCTGCCGCTCCCAGAAGCCAGTGCCCTGTGCCGGCAGCTCCTCTGGCACAGCTTTACCGCCCCCAGCCTTGTCCTCCAGTGAGGCTGTACAGACCCCAGACAGGAGACACAGCTGCCTAGAAGTGATGAATAATTTAATGAGTAATAATTATGAATGTTAAAAGTTTACTAAAGTTTATTCCTATTTTTAAACTTTATGCCTTCTGACATGGAACCTTTGTCACAGCCTTTCTGGGAAATTAATCTCAGTGCCTTTATACACAATAGTAATGATAATCTCAAAAGAATGATAGGAGGTTAGTGAAAACTTTCCTTGGATTTTTTCCTTGCTTTGCACCACAATACTCTATGTTCCTGATCGTCCCTAAGACCTCATTGATACCTTAAAATAGTTCCTAAAACTTTCCTGCAGAGCTCAACAGGAAAGCTGAGTTTCTTGTAGTTTCTTGCTGAGTCTTCTAACACACTTTCTTTCAATAATGCCAGATCTTGAGATTATGTATATAAATTAGCTTTTAAAATGGTTTGGTTATATCTCTCCCAATTAATGTTCCCATGTGCTGGTTACGGATATACGTTGTCTAATTCTGAGCCCTTTTAATTTTAAAAACCCTTACAAGAAATCTTTATCAGTTATTATTCTGAATATAGATGGACTAAATTACTCATTTTTCATTCCACTTAATCTGATTGAAGGAGGCATTGCCTAGTGGTTAGAAGTGGGACTGAGTGTCAGTACTTTCGTGGGTTTCTGTTCCTGGCTCTATCACTGATGCTGTGCCTCCATTAGAACTACTCTAAAAATGAGTATAAATCACAGCGACCATACATCTCTGAGGTAGGTGAGGCTAATTCATGTTTGCAAAGTACTTTGAGAACCTCAGATGTAAGGTGCTAGAGAAATGCAATTTTTGTTATTGTTTACATTATACAGATCCTCAACTGTACAAATTGAAGTTGATGTTATTTTAGTTACAAAGTAAAGTGTGAAAGCTGGATTGGTTTGTTTATCTTGTCTCCCAAAGCCTTTCAACCGGTACCACTTGTGGGTGGTTAATATTTTTAGTTGCACTTGTGTACTAACATCATCTGACTTCCAATATAATCTAAAAGACAATAATTTTGTCTAATTATAAAGAAAATAAAACACTATCCTGCTCTCCTCGAAATTAGTGACAAAACTCCCTTGCACCATTGACTTCAAGGTGCAAGATTGGGTTTTTTGCAGGCAGTTTTATTTCTCAAACATACGCAAAAACCTGTCGAACATAGTTCCTCAGCCCACTGTGGGCTGTAGCTCCCTGATGATTTTTCCCTTTACCTCTCTCAATTTCTCATGTTTCAGGGCCCATGACAGGGTTCTCCCAATCTCTGTTAATTGAGCCTATCCTCCCAGGGCTCCCTTCCCTCCCCGCCCCCATTCCTACTGCCTCTTCTGCCAGGGCACTCTGCCAGCCACTCTCAGGGAATTTCCTGCTGTTCCTGCTCCCACTACCCCAGCCTCCTGGCTTCTAGCCTGTCTCCACAGTGCCAGCGAGCAGAAAACAAGAGCTCCAGGTCGTATCTCTCTGCCCCTTTCCTGACTGCATCTCAGGCCTGACTCACCCATGCTCCCCCCCTAGGGCCCAGGTGCCTTCTCTTATATGTGGGGGTCAGCTGACCAGTCCTAGGTGCACTGGCGTCTTCCCTCTTAAAGGGCTGGTGCCACCCCGTGACACTTACACTAAAAGAATATTGTTAATTGTGCAAAGGCAAGTGCTCAAATATTAAATTCCAGAATTAAGGTTGCCTGAGCAACCTGTATTCAACCCTTTGTGCATATGCATTATGTACTCCTGAGGGAATTTTGCCCCACTGCAAATGCACAGAATTAATGTCTCACGCAGTTTTTTTCTCTGCAGAAAATACATTCTTCCAGAGAGATGCCGCAGTTATGCCTTTTGCCCAACAGGGGCTGCCGGCTCATTGGCAGTAGTAGCTAGCGGTCAGCTAGCGGTCAGTGTTACTCACAGCGCCCTGCCTGTGGGGCCAAGTTAAGAGGCACGGGATGGGGAGGGACAGACAGAGCAGGTCACATGGGACTGCTGGGGGTGTCACAGACTGGGGTTCAGAAGAGCTAGTGGGGGGGACAGACTGGGGCAGGGGCTGAATGGGAATGGGGTGCAGGGCCATGTGGTGACAGGGGGCAGGAGGGAGCTGAATGGGGTGCAGGGATACATGGATATTGAGGGGGTGCAGGGCTACCTGGGGATAGGGGGTGGCTGAGTGGGGGTGCAGGGACACATGGGGACAGGGGCAGATGTGCCTGACTGAATGGGAGAGGCTAGGGGTCAGCCAGGATCTGCACAAGGGAGGCTCCCCAACTCCCTAACAGT